TATATGTATGAGGGAGATCGAGATATACATACATATAAAGGGATATTGGTTGTCTTACTTTGATCCGCCAAGAACGGTGACTACAACTATATCACTATAATACTTGACACTGACAAATGTCAAGCGAACGTTGACGGCCCATTAAATCTTGAATAATCTTGAAAACTATACAATACTCATTGCTGAAACTTTAAATTATGTATTAAGGAATGCTATCGAGGATTTTACCTAATTTTTCAGACGGCCAGCTTGCTAAAATTGGTTGTTACTTCTCTACTGCTTTTTCGCTTCCTCGGGTTTGTTTTCCAACACTTTGAACTCGTACTCGTTTAAATATTCGTTGCTTTTTTGCATCAAACTAATCTTAAGGAGTGATTATTTCATTCTGTAATTACTTTGTTGCAAAAACAAGATAATAACAGACTAATTGAACTAAATATTTAAAATCTCAATAAAGTACCAATAAAAAACACACACCTGTATACACTAATATCTCCAATTGTGAGTTCGGTTTTCGTGCTACATTTTTAAACAGTTCAGTGCATTTCAGCTTGAAATGTTTTTACAAACTTTAAGGCTCATGTGTGATCGTGTAAAAATATCAGCTCTCAATATAAAATGTGTTTTTTTTATTTTTCAGCTATTTTTATCGATAAATTCACCCCCTACAAAGTCATACCTCACCCCCCTTGAAATTAATTCATACCGTTCCTAACGAAATTAGAGCTGACACGGATATGGTCTGCCGCTCAACACGACACATTGTTTTAAGAACAACAATGTGCATAACCAATAATGGAGGAAATTTTGAACAGCTTCTGTAACATTAAACATGTCCAAAGTCTCTATAAGAAGCATTGATTTGTCATTTTTATGTACAAAAGTTTGAAAACAATTTGCATTTTATTACACCCATTTTGATCCATGTTTGATAGCATTTATTGCTCAACGTAGAATACTTAGGATAACACAAAGCTGTAGAATTAGCACAGGAAAAGTACAACTTCACAGACTAGTTTTTGAATGGTGTGCGGAAATGCGCAAAATAATCAATTTTCTTCCATATTTTTTCTGTTTTTGTGTGTTTTTAAGTATGTTTGACGGTTAATATCAAAACAAGTCTTTCAATAGCCGCTAAGATAACATGTCATCGTTCAAATGACATCAAATTTATCATTCTGTGAAAATTTCGTACTCAGTTATTACAATTTCCATACATGCACTACCGTAATCGTAACGTAAAAATAAAAATGGCTGCCATTTTATGGGGGATGAGGCAGGACATTGTAGGAGAGTGGATTTATCGATAAAAATAGCTGAAAAATACCCCTCCTAAATATCGGTATGTCGTGACCAAACACATTGTATGTAAAATGTATGGCAGTGCTTTTCTTTAATGTCCCCTCCCCTTTGATTTTTTGAATGGATCAGTAAAAAAAATTAAAACTTGAGGTAATGAAATTGCTGTGTGGATAACATATTTTAGAGTAAAATTGACATATGAAAATGTCAAGATAGCCGCTGGACGCCATCTTGGAAAACGAAATTATATGAAAACGGGGGTCTTGTGGCACATCATTTTAGAATTTTAGAATTTCTAATTGTTTGAGGATTATACAAGCTTCGTTCAAAGGGAAATTTATAACAAAGTACATAAGTTTACTTGATCGATATGAATCACAAACCATTTCGCAAGATGAATATTACTTTTAAAACAAAGAGTTTTTTCTTTCGTATTTGTGTCCCCTCCCCTTTGATTTTTTGAACGGATCAATTCATAAAATTAAAACTTGAGGCAATGAAATTGCTGTATGGATACCATATTTTAGAGTAAAATTGATAGATGAAAATATCAAGATGGCCGCTGGGCGCCATCTTGGAAAAAATTACATGAAAACGGGGGTCTTGTGGCAGATCATTTTGAAGCTCCTGACGAGTACTTTATAACCATATAATATAAAGTCAATAACTTTACCTACTACAAAATGGTGTCACGTTTAATAATTGCTTGAGCACAAACCCACTAACATGCATATCTCTACAAATAATTGTAATTCCCTGCCATAATCCGCAGCAACAGCGATAAAAACTTGTTTTCTTATCTTTTGTTGACAGTGACAAGAGTATCAGTACGAAAACAAACGTACAGTTAAAATATTCTTATTTAGTTTTTTGTTTTAGTGCTAGATACTGTTTGAACTATTTTTAAAATGGTCAAATCTCGACCATTGGAAGAACAAATCGAAGCGATTTTTATTTATGGTGCAACGCGTAACTTTCACGAGACCGAAAGGATTTTTAATGATCGTTTCCCGAATCGTCCTATCTGTAGAAAATATCTAAGGGAACTTGTATCCAAATTTACAGCTACTGGTAGTCTAAACAACAAAAAGCTCCCAGGTGTTCCGACCATCCCGGAAGAAAAGCAAGTTCAAATAATTGGTGAGATCATAGTAAACCCCCAACAGGCTACTTCCTCCATCGCGAATGTATGTGCGGTTTGTCCTTCTGCTGTATGTCGATTTTTGAAAAAATAAGTATCACCCATACAAAATTCCAATGGTACAACAGCTAACTGAAGATGACCCTGACCGAAGAACAGAATATTTGTTTTAGTGATGAATGTACATTTTTTCTCAACGGTAATGTGCATAGATAAAATTGTCTTCCGGGAAACTCATATTAAATATCCACAAAAAATTAACGTTTGGGCTGGGATATTGGGAAATCATATTGTGGAGCCTCTATTCATCGAACAAACTTTAACCAGGGAACTGTATTAGGATATGCTGGAAAATACTATAATACTAATCACCGAAATCGACGATGCGAATCGTAATGAATTTGTTAGTGATATTGTATTCCAGCAAGATGGTGCTCCACCACGCTACTACAGACAAGTTAGGAATTATTTAGATAACAATTTTCCCGGTCGTTGGAATGGCCAGCTCGCTCGCCAGATCTGACACCTTTAGACTTTTTTTATGGGATTATTTGAAGCAAAGGGTGTACGAAACTGAACTTGCTTCAATATTGGATATATGGCTGAGAATAACATATATTTGTAGAAATATCGATATTACTATGTTTGAAAATGTTCGACGCGAAATTACAGACCGGCTGTTATTGTATCAAGAAGCTCAAGGCAACCATTTTCAGCATCTTCTAAACTGAAATCAACGTATTTATTCGAATTATCAAATTAAATGTCAATGTATTCAGGTAATTATTAAATGTACCACCATTTTGTAGTAGGTAAAGATATTGAAACAAGTTTTTATCGCTGTTGCTGTGGATATGGCAGGGAATTAGAATTATTTAAAGAGATATGCATGTTCGTGGGTTTGTGCTCAAGTAATTATTAAATGTGACACCATTTTGTAGTAGGTAAAGTTATTGACTTTATATTCTAGGGTTATAAAGTACTCGTCAGGAGCTTCAAAATGATGTGCCACAAGACCCCCGTTTTCATATAATTTTGTTTTCCAAGATGGCGTCCAGCGGCCATCTTGACATTTTCATATGTCAATTTTACTCTAAAATATGGTATACACACAGCAATTTCATTGCCTCAAGTTTTAATTTTTTGAATTGATCCGTTCAAAAAATCAAAGGGGAGGGGACACAAATACTACAGAAAAAAACCGTAACTCTGTTTTAAAAGTAATATTCATCTTGCGAAATGGTTTGTGAATCATATCGATCAAGTAAACTTGTGTACTTTGTTATAAATTGCCCTTTGAACGAAGCTTGTATAATCCTCAAACAATTAGAAATTCTAAAATTTTGTTGTGGTTATTTAGATGTATTTGAGGAATTTCAAGAATCTGCGTAATATTATCGTCGCATTGCCAGCAAATGCTAACCCCTGATCTTCAACCCTGACGAAAGATTTTCTGAACATTAGCAGGGTTGCCACAAACGTCAAAAAATAGTTTAAGAGAGAGAGTTTGAACGAATTTAATTTTTTTTGTTTTTTCCGTTTCCCCAATTACGTGAGGTGTTGAGTGAAGAGATGATCGCGTCGAATCTCATCCAATCACGTAGGGGAGGGAAATATATATTTTTTCCAGCAAAAGTCAGTAAAATTACGAGAAAATTGAATTACCGTAAAATATGCCGTTTGATTAAAATATGAGAAAAACTGACAAAATAATATTTATCTTGGTTATATATCTTAACTATTTTAAATTATAAATAGATGCAGCAAATTGTGTCTATTAAAATAAATCATATGCATTTACACTAATACTTGTGAGATTAAGGACCGAAGTACTATTAACTATGCCCATAAACGGAATCTTTAGAAATGGAAAAACATATTGAACTTTTTAGTAAACGCCTATTTGCCTGCCGTTTGTCATGAAACGACGTTGTATGTGGTTGGTTATAATCATAGACATTATCAATAAATACAAAAAACAAGTTTCAGAGTTGCTAAAAACTTTCCTTGTTTATCACTAATATTCCGCCGCCACTGCGTCAATTTTCAAAAATTAAGTATTGTTCCATCAAATCATAGGAGCCGTTTCTGAGATTTCGCAGAGAAACGCCAACAGACAGACAGACATGGCAGACAGACAAAACAACAGAAATGGATGTTATAAATGTTGGTTCATGATTTGAACGTCATGGAGAAAGGCTTGTTAAATAAAATTTCAAAATTTACGCAGTCACAATACTTGAGCGTTGAAGTAACGCACAATTAACCATCAAAGAAACATCTCGTATCAAAAACTACCTAAATTACTTCTCTATGTAACTACCTCAAAAAATCGCAGGCTAGATGTCGCGTGTCAGCAGCCAAAACCTCGACTAGTAAATACCAAGCAAACTTGTGTCAAACATAAAGGTACATCCATATAAAACGCGTGTCATGCTTCGATCAAACCTCGTTGCCATGTGTTACCGCGATACATCAAAGAAATAAAAGAATAATTTGTCCCTTTATAATATTGGTGAATAGGTGCAATTTTTACATAATACTCAGAATAGCCAAAATGGATGAATTAAAAAAACCGACCGATGGTAAAAATGACAACGAAAAGTCGTCCAAACGCGGTAAAGGTGGAAGCACGTTAGTTCTGTTGCAGGGCATTAGAAAACTGGCGATGCCCAGTAGATCTTTCAGCGATGAAACCCAAAACGTAAGTGGAAAATTCTCTTAACACATCAATTATTCAAACACCTACATTGTCGAAACACAAAAAAATGCTTCTTTTGTAATAGTATATAAGCACTGTTACCAGACAATTCATGTCCGGAGATAATCTGTAAATTACTTGTTCAAAAAAAGACTCCAAATTTGAAATTGTGAACTTTTCTCTGTAGTTAAAAACCAATAAATATATGCAAAAAAGCACGAAAGTAATATTATAGAGTACTCACTCGTTCTTAATCTACTCGATTTCTAGAATTCTTGGGAAAACTGAACATACTATTGTATAGGAACTATTTTGAAAATCTTTCGTTACCCTACAAATTTTCTGCGGACTTATACTTATACCGCTGATTACAATTTTTTTTTTCTCATACGCGTGAAAATTACTTTGCCAATGTTGATGCTTAACAGAACACTTTTGTAACAAAGCTTTTCATATTTCCAGATGGTTTTTTTTTTATCCTGTCATATGTTCATAAAGGGTGTGTTCGAATGTCAATATTTGAGAGGGTGATTTTTGGACTTTAAAACGAAACCGTCATATGTACGTATATCCTGAAAGTCCTTAACTTTTGAACTTTAGGATGGTAAACTTGTCAATATAAAAAGTCAGCGGCACGCCACTGGCTCATCTTGATTTAAATTGATATTCGTATTAATTTATGAGTAGGGTTGATCCCTTAAATTTGTTTAGTCCGACACACGGTTTTCACCTAAAAAAAAATAAAAGTAATTTCTTTGCGTGGTGACATTGTCGTATTAACGTAATTGTTACGATCATGCAGAGAAACGGCTTTTATTTTCTTTAATAAAAAACCGTGCATCGGACTCAAAAAAATCAGACGATCAAATTTGCTTAGAAATGATTGGGGATTTCAAAAATACTTTTAATTTCATGAGAAAACAGTGGCGCACTGTCAAAGTCACCAAAATAGGCACGTGAAATTCCATACAAGCGCCACTATTGGAAATTAAAAATGCCTCTTGATACATAATAAACGTATGCCAAATTTAATTGAAATATCCAAAGTGATAAATTGAACATGCTTTGCTTTCGTCCGTCCGACCAAGGACAGCCAATCATGGACAGCTGTTTTGTGCTTTTTGACTAATCGTCAGCATGGTCTAGGCCTGGGTGTATCGGACAACGAATGAAAGCATAGCAACTATACACTATCCAAACTGCGTTATCTATCGAAATAATATATCTATGATGTGGGAAATATATTTAGTTAACTATCGGGGTTGAGTGCGTATACATACATCAACATCAAAAAAAATGGGTTAAGTTAAGCCAAAATTTGTAGTCAGTAAGTAAGTAAGTTTCATTAAATTAAATATTTAAAATACACATGACAACAGCGCGTCGGTTATTCGTCACTCTTATCGAACCGGCAATCGATCGCAAACAGTAACAGTGGTTAGTTATTTTTCGCGTCGTGTTTATTTACAATGTTCTCGAATCAAGAGTTCGCCGACATGTTGTTAGTTTGTGGTGAAAATGCCATGTTATATGAAACTTTTTGCTTCTTTTAATCTTTTAACCTCTATCCCCCATTTAAATAATGACTATCATAACGTTTACACCCTGTATATTTGTAGTAAGATGAGTAAGAAATGTGATTATTGGTTGAGTTAAGACGATATTCAACGAACACACCTGGAACTGAGGAATTCGAAAATAGTGCTAATACCGAAAAAGTGTCTACGTACCTGGTTCAACAAGGCCTTTATTGATCTCGCACATTTATTTTTATTTATTTATATATTTTTGAAAACAGATAATTGCAAAATAATTGTCTACAAATCTAAATAATACTGGTATAATAAGTTTTGCCTTAAATGGACTGAATTAATGAATTCGATAGAATTAAAAAATAGTCTTTTCCTTTGGTTGTAGTCAGTAATGCGTCACATATGTCACGTTTTCATCGTTTGCCGATACATGTTTAAGCATATCATACTTCCCACCTGCTTTAGGCGATTGATACCATATACCAAAGGATTAATAAAACGCGATACACCATTCTATATTTAAATCACAAAAGGTAAGTTTGCACGATTTCAACCGTGAAGGGTTACAGGATGGGTTTATTCCATGCAAGCTTTCAAAAAGAACTTTAACAGACATGGACGATCTATAAAAAGTTGAGAGATAAATTTCCTTTTCTCAAAATCCACTATAATTGATCAGTCGGGCAGCTTTCTAATTTCGACCAAACCATGTTATGTTTTAAAATAACTATTCTAGACTCTTGGAGACATTTAATAGGTATTGATACAGTACTCGAATTCGTAAACAATTCATTAGTATCTAACTATACATATGTCATTCGCCGTCACTCCCAGATCTCTGCTTAATGTCACATATATTACAGTGTAGAGAGTAATTAGAGAGTAATTATATAAAGAGAAGACAGACAATGCGAATAAAATTTTAGAGTCTATCGCGTTTAAACACAACTGTTCTCGGAAAGAAATACGTTGTTGCCAGATAGATAATCCTTTTTTGATGAAAACTTTGACCATCACTTGAAGTGAACGCATTTTTTATTTGGACATTTTTTCGTGATGGGAATATTTATCGTTAACGTACGATGTTTCATTCAACACACTTTCGCAAGAGAGAAAAGAAGTACGTTAGCATTAAATTCAAAAGTTTTCTAACCTGAAATTGATTATTTGACCAATCGTCGGTCTATTTGACATGGTCGCGTGTTAATCACCAAAACGGTGAAGTGAGCATTCTGCTTGGAATAAAAGTAGCGTTTTATAAATATTTAATGGCAGCTTGGCAACACCACCTCGGTAGCCTAGGACATAGGACTACTGCCTTTATTTTTAAACCCACGATAGTCCAAGAGCCGTCCGCAAAGTTTTGCTTGCATCGCGTACTGATATGGAATGTTAAAAACCAGTCATAGTTTTTGTCACATATCATATCTTATCAGTACGCGATGATGGTAATAAAAAAATTACGATCGTCTTCCTTACTATACTCGTAATGAAGATGACTACCAATCAATCAATGGGGCCGAGATGGGGCTAAGGCATTCCACGAAATAGCATCTCTTGGCATAAGTACTCTTTGGTCTGTCTGTAGTGTTTACCTTTGATGACCCGATATAAATAAAGCAATGCAAGTTACTCTATGAAAATTTGCCCCTACGTTCATAATGCACATCTGTAATCTACTTTAACTATTACACAGTGACAGTGACAAAATAAAATCAAGCGATATCACATAATATATATTTAAACATGTTCAATCAAATGTCTCATATTCATCAAATTTCAGTTTATTATCTGTGCGTTATTAATTTGTTCAGTAAGTTTTTTTCCGTTTATTGGATTGCATATATCGAAGAGGATTTCAACGTTTTAAGTAGTTCAATTTAGATTTTGGCTCAACCTTTTTTCCCATTTGTCTGTAAATGGGCCTGAAGAAATGTCACACAAAAAAGATTACAAAACAATGAAACAGCAAACGGAGATCATACAAACAAACGGCATAGAACAAAATGTACACAAGGCGCAATCGTAGTGCACAAAGTCGGCAGGTATTGACATATTTGAATTTTTGCTGAAAAAAAAAATCGTAAAGGATATAACACGCGCGAGAGATCAAAAAACCTTAGGACGGCACCTGAACAGTTGGTTAGAAATGCTATCTTTAACTAAAATTGGTTAGCGATTATACATATACCATTACTCCCATGTAGATTAAAAGCCCATATTCAACCTCACTAGAAGGGATATGTAGATTATTTTTATACCTGTTATTTCTACTTATTTTCCAATTTCAGCCTGCTTTTATAGATGTAAATGCTAATCTCACAAATATAAGTACAAACAATAGTTAAGGTTTTTAAACATAATTATTTTTTATTAGAATAACACTAAATTTGCATGAGTCGATCTTCTCAATTGTCGTATTCCATACGTCAAGGTGGCTACAGACGCAATTGCAAGCTTGTCCAGGATGCTTATTCAATATTTTTGTACACGAACAAGCATGCTTAATAAAAATAGACGTAGTTTAATAAAATATGTCAAATTCGGACGACGATGCGCACGCTTTGATTACCTAGGTGTCTCTTGATCTCCTAAAAAGTGAAACAGGTGTCAGTACCAAAGTGTGGGCTCGTAATGTTCATCTGCACCCATTCCAGAGTGATCCGTATCTTCAACTTTTTTCTTTTCTCTTCTATAATTAGTCCGGAATGTGTTTATCCTTTTAACAACTGCATCCTTGTCGGCATTAGCATCAAGTAACCTTTATTTTTGTAATAATATTCTGTAGGCTGCATCCCTCTTTGGTTTGTTATGATTATCTTTGGATTTAACGTGCCAAAGTTATGGCTGATTTTAGTATTCTCGAATAAAATCTTCCAATAATTCACGGTTAACCTTTTTGAGATCACTAGTCATGACGAAAATTACTCAAATGCTACCACAACGGGCGCCAGCTTGTGCAAGCTTGATAATCTAGGGCACACACGTACCGTTTTGCTTGCGCAAGCGCGTCTAATTCAAGCATGCATAATTAAAATCAATTCAATGCTCAAGCTGCTTGTACAATTATAAAGCTTGCATCAAATTTCTCTACAGACAGTCAAGGGTGCTGGTACAGAAATATTGAACAAGCATGCTGGACAAGCTTGCAGTTGTGTCTGTAGCCACCTTTAGTCTGCTATAGATTAAGGCCTCTTGTTCACGGCACGTTTTTCGCCGTAAAAATCTACGGTTAATTCGCCGTAGGTAGGCACGGTTATCAGTGTTGTATGGATCACAGTGGGAGCTTGTAGACATACACGGCAGCGCTACGTTACGGCAAAGCTGCCGTGCTCGCCGTGAAAGCCCCTCGGCGCGCCGCGTCTGGCGACGGCGTGATTTTCATCAGTGTTGTATCGCAGTGCATGAGAGCTTGTCGATGGTGCCGGACGTTTTCACGTTTTGGGAAAGATATTACACAGGCTGATGAAATAAGCGATAAAATGGACATCAATCAAGAAGTTCTTATAACATTAGTTCAAGAAAGGCCGGTGATCTGGGATAAGACGATAGAAGGTTATAAAAATAAACGCCTGAAGTTTGATTGCTGGAAAGAAATATTCGTACAATTGAATCCCGCATTTGAAGATTTAAGTGGTGAAGAAAAGAACACTTTTGGTTAGTAACTGATATATTTCTCACTTACAGTAATCCACTTAAGCATAGTTATTTTGATAAGAGAGGCTACCTTCGTTAGACATAAAATATTGTGCAAATTTGTTGCGAACATCGTTAGCTAACAAATTTCCGCGAACTGCATTCGTCATAGGTAACTGTGTTAGTTCCGATTCTGATTCAAAGGTTGATTCTCTTTCACTCGTATTATCAAACTGAAACTTTTCCTCTTTATGTACAAAATTTTGTAAAATGCAACAAGCTTTCACAATATCCACAGCCAAATCGATGGAAACATTCAGTGGCCGGTGGAGAATACGCCATTTATTGGCTAAAATGCCAAAACCACATTCAACAAATCTTCGTGCTCTTGTGAGTCGATAATTGAACGTGCGTTTTAATTGGTCAAGTTGATGGCCTCCGAATGGACGAAGTAAGTGATAGTGCAGAGCAAAGGCTTCGTCTCCAACAAACACAAACGGTAATTTGTAGTCTGTTCCAGGCAAGCGGATTTCGTCGGGTAGGTTCAGTGTATTGTTTGTTAAGTTTTTCCAAAATGCAGTTTCTTTGAAAACACTGGAATCACATTCCTTTCCGTTGGCACCAATATCAACAAATATAAAATTGTAATCGCTATCTACTACCGCCATTAAAACTATAGAAAAATAATGTTTGTAATTCAAAAACATCGAACCACTATCCACTGGCTTAATCACTCTGATGTGTTTACCATCGACTGCACCTAAGCATAGCGGGAAATCAGAAGATTCTTGAAACTTGTTAGCTATTTGTAGCCAGTCTTCCTTAGAAGGCATTTTCATATACTCTTTGCACAGTTCTGACCAAATACACTGGCAAACTTCACGTACGATGCAACTTATGGTTTTTACTCCAATTCTATAGGTGTAGTGTAGGTCTGTAAACGTAGCTCCTGTTGCTAGGTATCTGAAATACAATGATAAAAATTAATTTTATTTACAGGGCAACATGTGATGAAAAAATGGACCAATATGAAAGATAATTGGATGAAATGTCATAAAAAAATGGGTGAATATAAATCTGGCGCTGGAGCACACAAAATAAGAAAATACAATTTTTATGATCAAATGCTATTCTTAAGCAAAATTGTAGAACATCGCAAGACTGATTCCAGTATGGATGAGCATGTTAATAGTTCAGGCATCAATAATGAAAATGCAGAACCGAATCCATCAAGATCACAGAACGGTAAAGCGAGTGAGGCTCCAAAGGCTAAGCAGAAGAAAAAAAATAATCAACTTAGTGAGGTTGACATTAAGTTTATGAAGTTTATGGATGTAACGGCACAGGAGGAGAAAAGCCGCAGTATGAACTTTTTTAGAGGAATTTCTGATTCAGTTGACAAGTTTACTGATGAAAACATGATAGACTTCCAGTTTCAAGTCATTTCAATAATTAAAAGCATACAAGAAAGAGAAAATAACCGATATATAGCAGCACCTAGAAACCAATGGGATCATGGCCAGCAAGGATATCAAAGCGGCACAACACCTGCGAATTCACAGTTTTCAGTGTATGGGCATTCCACAGCTGCTCGATCAGGCTTTGGAATCAATGGCCAGGAATACGATTTTGGACATAGCTCTGGTTTAGAGCCCATCCCCAACCGACCAGAATCGCAAGCATCTGCTCAAAGTGTGAATACAGAAAGTACCTCTGCAAATTCTCAAGCCAGTACTGAAGAATTCGATTTTAGCTCTGCATTTCGGGAGCATCTTTAGCTTCAACTTAGTTTTTTTACGTAACTTATAATCATTCATAGTACAAGTTCGTTTGAGATACAAGGCTTTGTATTAATACATAAATTTAAGTAAAAGTATTTAGTTTGATTTTTTACTTACCTCAACGTTACAGCCAATCTTTCTGCGGGAGGTATGCTTTGTCGCATATTGGTATCTTGGTGCTTTAATTTCTGTGATAATTTTTGCAGCAGTTTATCGAAAGTTGTTTTCTGCATTCTGAAATAATTGTAAAACTTGGCTTCATCCTCCCTCAATTGATTCTTGACAAGCGTATGAAATGCGCCTAATTCTCCCCGTTTTTTCAAAATCGGGTGTATCCAAAACCTTCTTTTTCTCCTCTCTTGTTTTTTCAGTCTTCTATACACATAGTACGCAAGCACAATCTTTTTCTTAGGATTCATGGCGAGGACTTCTATAGTTTGCCGCAGAAAAGTCTCAACTGAGCTCACTTGGATTCATTCGACGGGCACCTTTGCCGTGCCCCGTGCAAGCTTGCACGTTTTTGTAACCGTACGGCAAATTTGCCGTACGGCAAAAAAAACGTGTCGTGAACAAGAGGCCTTAGGCATAGTACAGCCTGATGAACTGGCTGCAATCAAAGACAAGTTATATAGGTATATAAATTCAAAGTACGCTTAAGCTTTTCACATTGCGATTTCCATCATCCAATGTACTCATCAAAGAGTAATTTAACAATTTTAGTTGCACTTTTGATTTTGCCATTTTTATTAATTGAAAGGTTATCAAGACTGTCTTGATTAGTTTGTTATGAAATGTTTTCATTTTTTAGTTGGTTTAGATAGCTGCTAACAAAATAGTCTGAATTGTGCAGATATGTTTTAATACCTCCTCCCTGTAGGGTATGCATTAGCGTAGGTCGTCCCGAACAATTCGCTATGGCTCGGTGCCAGGCGGGAACCTGAACCGCATGTAAAAAGGACTTTACGCCATCACACTTCATTTCTACTGTGAGAATTTTGATGAAATCCTGACACTCCTCAGGTCGCCAAGCACGCAACCTAAAATGCTATCTTTGTGAACTCCGTGCTTTCCAACTCTCGCATTTTCACTCCAGGATGCCATTAGAGCACATATTGTCTTTAGGGAGCAAATTAATCCTACCTTATCTTGTGGTATCAGTCCAAAATCGGATATTTTATTGAGTGATTCTTGGGGCATACGTCCAAAGTCGCGTAGTTTATTGAGTGGTTTGGTATTGGGGTTCCACAATGTTCGTGCATGGAGTGCATGTGCAAAACTCCTCTTCCGATGAGTCCGAAGAGGACGAAGATTGCGATCCAGAGAAAATGCTTCTTGTAAGTTTGTTTCATGTTCAAGAATGGAGATATTTGTCATGACTTGTTTCACCCATGTAGCTTGTTTAGCCTGATGCACCATACACAAAAATGGATCCAAGTAGATTGACACGTTAGTTTTCACGCAGTGATCGATCAATCAAAATATACACCATTGTCCAAGAATACACTATTCTTCTTGACAAAGTGCTTCAAACACACAATTCTGTACTTTGGATAAAAGGAAGCTTCCTAGCACATATCTATTTCAAGGCAGCTGCTGTTAAAAAGCTTGCCTATTTTTTTGGTACTTTTCTCCACAGAATGTCCTCACTCTGTAAAAGGCGCAGATAAGTCCTAGCCTCGAGTACCGCTCACATGTTTGGGGTGCTGCCGTCCTTACTACATTATCCATGATGGATGCTGTTCAGACTCTCCAACTGGATCAATGACTCTTATCTAACGGACAGTCTCGGTATCCTTTCGCACCGAATGGTCCTCAGAGCTCTCTTCCATAATGCCGCCGATGACCCTGCCAGACAGACCGGCATGACTTCAGCCTCCCGCCCTAATCTTGTCAAACTTGGTACATCCAGAACTAGCCGCTACAACCACTCCTTCGTCCATAGGGTGTCGAAATTGTGGAGGAGGCTTTTCCCAGTTGTACTAACCATAGGCAGTTCAAAAATTGGATTAACAAAGCGTCCTTAAGCTCCCAAGAGCAGCCGCGGTGCCCAGGTCTTTAGGCTTCTGCCTGCGCGGCTACTTCGGTATAAAAAATGTACAAATACAACACGGTACAAGCTACATATTATCAACTAGCAAAAAATATTAAATAATAGGCTTTTTGTAGAAGTAATGTCTTCACGATTTTCCTTAAAACCTTCATATCATTGATTATACACCTATTTGGGCAGCTGCAGGTTAATAGTTGAAAATATTCATGCCATTACAAAGTGTTTAGTTAAATATGTCTTGGAGATGGACAAACTCATGTTCTGATTATCGTTAATGTTGTATCGACTAGCTCCCGTTGCTAATTTCCGATTGGCATATTCCTTTTTAATCAAGCATACCACTTCAACTATGAAAATACTCGTCACAGTTAAAATGTTAAACTTATAAAATGGGGTTCACAACAAACTATTCCTATAGCCAGTTTGAGCTATGCTTCGTTTAGCTCTTGTCAGAAGAACAAAAGCTTTTTCAGTAGTTATATGTTAAAAAGTCCCCAAAATGCTGATATGCTGAATGATTTTAGATACACAAAAGTTACATTAGTAATAAGTAAAATTCGAGAAGTGCCTGATTTTATTTTTCCCTCCTCCTCAAAGAATCCTTTGATTAAATGCTAAAGCAACCAGGAATTTGAACAGTGTATAAAAAAGTTAACAATTTATCAAACATTTGTAGTAGAGCTCTACAATCAAAAACTCCAAACAGATTGAAAAATGACATTTCGTTTTTCGGTCACAACTCCAACCACCACTGAATCGACTTTCAAAAATCTTGAAAAATTCTCCATTTTCCATTCGTGAAGCAGCAGTTTATCAGAATCCGAGCACTACTTTCCAAGTTATAGACGAGCCAAAGATTAACGACATCCAAACGTAACATCTCATTTTCGATTTTTGCTGATTGGCAGTACTGTCTCTCTGATTAGCGTGGCAAATGAAGTACATGATACACTTGAACTTTTTCAGATAATATCGAATGAGATTTTGATAGAGTTCTTATAAAGGGTGCTACTATATCAAGAATTAAAACTATTTTCAAGCTGATCTGAACTTGGCCTTAGAAGCCGTAAAAGTGTTACGATACCAAGTATATCAGCGAAAACCTTTGCGTCGTATATCAAAGAGGAAGTAACACTTGTATCGCTGCCAGTCTTCTTCTCTCCAACTCTCTGGAGCTCGGTTTGACAGTCTGAATGCCTGCAGGCAAAGCGATATCATCTCTGTAAAGCTGTGGATAAGTAGATTTTCCGAACAGTCATTGCAAACCACCTCAGGAGGGTGATAGGACCACGGTATAACATACAGTATCTTATCAAAACTTTACGTGATGGTTAGCTATCACCTTCAAGTGCCAATCACATGTCGTTAATCAACCAATCTGAATAAAGCAATAAAACATCCATGAATATTGATTGCACCCATACAAGATTCATTCTACTCCAGAAGAATAACCCTCGCTCTAACTTTCATGCAACTTAAGCTTTCGTAGATTTAGTTATTGCCCTGAAATTGTATTTCAAAAGGTGCATGGTATTATTATACATCGTGTGCTAAAATTAATACAAACTTATTTATTTTCTTCGATCCTATAGACCAACAAAATCAAAAACGATATAAAAAATGTGTTCCAATTGGTTAACGAAGTGAGTATTGAGGTAATGAAACGTAATTCTGATTTACCCTGTACAATAAGTCAAACCATGGCTATCATCAAGAAACTATACAGAATGCAAATTAAATGCAATGAGTGAACCTGTCGCCTGTCGAAAAAATATTTAAAATGAAGTTAAATATGAGAAAGTTATTGACCAAAATTCTGCGTGATATTTTGCCCTTAAGAGTATAAAGCTTTATTAAATTCCAACTTCGATATGTCCTTATTGCGAATATCCTTTATATACGTGTACTTACTTATCCGTTTTCTGAAGCAACTTGTAATACGGTAATATTGCTTCCTGTATAGAAAACTTCGGTGCAACTCCCAAACAAAATCGAAGGTCAAGGATCAATGTTATCGCCAGCTGTTTCCTCTTTCAAATAAACAACTTCGACATATTTTTTATGATTGAGCGTCTCGCTGATGAAATTCTGGCGAAGTTAGATTGAAATCGTGTATAATATGCAAGATCAAATCAAGGGCGGATCCTGAAGGGGACATGAGCACCCTCCTCCCCAAAAGCAACGGATTCAACAAGAGATAATTTTGACTCTAAATTATTAAAATTACCCGTCATGTTCCTAATCCAAATTACAGTCCTAAATCACCTCGCCGACAGCGATGCCGCGCAGATGTGGAAAGGGGCAATGTTTGCAGCATAAACAGTAACTACCAGTAGGGCGGAGAAAAAATGTCTATGAACTAAATTGTATGGGCCTATTTGACTAACTTGATACGTTTAATTTCTCTGTTATACATGTCCGTAACTGACTTTTTTCTCACTTGGTTTAAATTGCGCTGAATGTAATCTTTTACGAACTGATTACGGCGATGCCTATGAAGTGTCGACATTTTTTGTTTGTGCTTCCAGTACGATGAAATCCGATAATACAAATACAGCTTTCTAATTATCGTCAAAAACCGTTTTAGTAGATAATGAAGGAAAGCAGTAAAATAAGCCGCCACTAATTTCTTTGGAATTTGTATTAATTGCCTTTCTGTCCCTTCAAAAGCATAATAGGTACTCAGAGGTGATGGGAGTAGACTTCTCCCTTTAATTAACAGCAACAGGAAAGTAGAGGCTTATATTTCACTGTAACACTTAAGAGGCGCCCCAACAAAGAAAATTTCAGTTTTGAGAATAATGATGCTCTCATCTCCTTCCACCACCCGCGCTTTTCGTTAGTGATTACCGGCAAAGTGGAGCTGTTTCATATCCAGATCCGCTCCTAAATTTATACAAAAATTGTTTACAGAGGAGGAGGGAAGAATGCGAACGCAAGGCAAGGAGAGGGGAGATGGACCCCAGATTGGAGTTCACTTTCCAACTTCTAATGGATGCAACGGGATTACCCAGGAGTGAAATTATGGATCATGTTTTTGAAGGAGATATGGTAAGTATTCTGTATCGGGGAAAGTATAATCAGCCATGACCATGTCACTTTAACACCATTGAACCCCGTATACCTCCTCCCTAAGGGTTAAGCGGGACTGGATCAGTTGCTACCATAAATTATTGGAGAATGTAGTAATACCACTCAGCGGAATTATCTTACACTAGCGATAGAAAATCGAAGCTGACCCAAAATCGATTTACATATTAATTGGACAGCTGGTCCCTCCAACATAGATGTAGCAAACTCAATTCACTACTTTATCACAAGCACGGCTGAGGAATTCACTAACGAACAAGCAGCCCGTCGTATCATCCGACAAGTTCTTCTAAACCTTGTTGATTTGCCATTTATGAAGAACTCCGACATTATTGCCTGTAATATTTCTCTGGTTAGTCTCTTCTGTATCTATGTTTTTTAGACAGGGGAGGGCTTTTGTAGCATCTCTCGGGTAGAAAAGCTCGATAAAGTCCTTGTATCATCCTTCCTATCTCAGTCGTTCACTATACAGGGTGTTCCATAATTATTGCGACAAAATGATAGGGGTTGTAGAGGGCATCAAAATGAACAATTTTTCCTTATAAACCCCTGTTCGGAAACATGCCGTTTGGGCTGCAGCAAAAAAAAAGATCAGTTTCTTGAAACAGCTTACCTACAGTAATTGCTCAAAGTGTCCTCCACCTTGCTCAATACACACCTGTGCACGATTGTTCAATGATCGGCGAACTCTGTGGCATACCCCCGGTATGTCCTGAACATGTGCGGACGCGGCCATCACTCTTCCCAGTAGCTCTTGTTGGTTGGGAACAGGAGTTTCGTACACTAAAGCTTTCAGATAGCTCCAGATAAAATAATCCAGTGGAGTCAGGTCAAGTGACCGCGCAGGCCAAGGCACAGGGCCACCTCGGCCTATCCACCTATTTGGAAATTTGTCGTCCAAAAACTGCCGCACTTGTAAAGAAAAGTGGGCTGGACCGCCATGGTGTTGAAACCACATGTTGGCTCTTATATTCAGTGGCACATTTTATAATAGTTCCGGTAGCACATGCTGTAAGGATCGACCATAAGCATGCCCATCCAAACGTGGTGGAAGCAGATATGGCCCGATGATATGCTCGTCCACAATGCCGCACCAGATGTTAATTGAAAACTGATGTTGGTCTCTATGGATGGCTATGGCATGAGGGTTTTCTTCATCCCAAATGTGACTGTTACGGCTATTAAAATAACCGTCCTTTGTAAAACAGGACTCGTCAGTGAACAAAACGTAGCGACCAAAGTTTGGTTGCCTCAACTCCTGCTGCAGCCACCAACGACAAAAACGTCGACGCGGCAGATAGTCTGCTGGACCCATGGCTTGGACTTTTAAAAGGTGGTACGGGTGTACGATAACAAAAATGTAAACACAGCAGGCTTTTTCTACAAACCGGCGAGACCATGAAATGTGCTAGACGAACATTTTGCAGCTGGTGAATTTTTTGTTTCTCCTATGAGCTCTTAAGGTAAAATTAACTGTAGTGCTCAAACGGCATATTTACGAACAGGGGTTTATAAGGCAAAATTGCATATTTTTATGCCCTCTACAACCCCTATCATTTTGTCGCAATAATTATGGAACACCCTGTATATCCCACCATGAAAGTGTATTACACCACTTTGTCATAATTCTAGGCTTATGTCTATTTGGCTGGCTTCTTGGAAAGGCTGGTAAGTCAATTTTCTTCATACACACTTTCCTTCCAGTTGGACGGTATCAACCAGCTTTTCCTCCCCCACATGAAAACAAGGCTATTGTGGTTCTATCAGGAGGTAGAAGAGCCACAAGGCTCAGCAGAACCTGATCCAAACAAACCCGGAACGTCAAGAGCCTTGCAGCCGAGTGGTTCCAGGTCAGCAGCAGTTCAACAGCAGGTCACACATAAGAAAAAATTGTTTCTTACTGATGGTATGGACGAACCACTAACTGGGACGTGCATCTACATATTTAGGACGAGCAGCAGCAAGCAGCTTCCTGAAGAAGGGTTTCAGAAGGTACAGTTCGTACCAAGAATGCTGACAATGAAATCATAAAAAAATTTACATTTAATTTACAATTAATCCATTGAAGCTATTTAAAAGAGCTAGACAAACTTGAAAAAACTTCTTTCAAATTGCATTTTTGTATTAAAGTATCAGATCATTCAAGGTGGTGTTGAAGGTAACCAGTTTTCAGTGGTATTTTAAAGTATGTAAGTTCATAGAAAATGAATTTCTTGGAAGCAATGTGAAGTGAGTGATTTTCGATGTATTCGATAGTGCTCCAGAATCATCTCTGTATAACTACTCGAGATACATATAATCTTAGCAATTGAACGTTTTTTTTTGTACTATCATTAGGATCTCTTCTGTGGCATAATTGACAGTAGCAATGTTGGTATAGTCACGACAGTCGAAAGAATCATGGAGTATGTATTCATGGAAACACTGGCACATCCCAATTCTGATGCAGAAGACGATGCTTCGAACTGCCCAATGGTGAAAAATCTACTGTTACCGAGTTTGAGATCTTTTTGTAGTGTTCTAAAAGGTAGCGTTGAACAATATTTTTATTTACCATTATTATTACCAATATTTATTGTTTGCCATATCCAATTATAAATTGAATATGTATGCACTTCAGTTCGATGTTTGGGTTGTGGGATAACTTGTAAAGATGTACTTTACCAAAGTTTTTCTACAGTTTGTGAAGAAGTTTGTGGAGAAGAGGACATTTTTGACGACGGAGAATCAATATTTTCTAATATTGATTCAGTCGATATAAAAGAAATGGCTAAGCATCAAGATAAAGTACAACAATTAGATAACAGAGTCAAAAACTGGATAAAAAAGCTGGATGAGATGCTCAAGGAGAGTGAACAAATAAGAAGAGAGAATCATTCTTCTGGTACGCCACAACAATGTCACAAAAAGCTCATATTTCGTTGTTAAGCCTCATTCAGTAAGATGTAGGTTCCACATTCATAATCAACCATATATAGTAATTATATATATGATATCAATTTTGATATTGTCAACAAACTATTTCACTCCGTATTATATTGTAGGTCCACAAGATGAACTAGAATACTGGAAAAAACGTGGGGCCAGATTTTCTCAGATAGTCAATCAAGTCAACTCTCCCGAAGTTCAGTTGACAATTTATTGCATAAGAATGGCCCACTCCAAGATATACAAAGAGTGGCTTGAAACTGATAGGAAGATAACATTTTGCTACAATGAGGCTAAAGATAACGCTAAGTTCATACAAGCTTTGGAGAGCAAGTGTCACTCACTTTATCTGGACGATCCAGTAAGTATTGGTGTGAATTCAACACAGATCAAAGCTTACTTGTCAGAAGCATAGTAGCTGATGTCACTTGAAGATCAAGGATCAGACGTATTGTAGGAATGCATTTTTCAGCTAGATCACTAGGTTCTCCAAAAATATCGTTTCTTATACTATTATACATGATAGGAGAGAATCGGCCAAATTGATAAATCATTAATATGCAGCTAGCTACTACACTGTCAGGAATTTAACTTACGCGTTGTCTTCTGAAGGATATATCAAAAAAGAGCAGCACTCTTTAGCCGAATCTCACACGAACAGTATTTACGATGGTCAAGGCCATTAGTATTGACTAATTATATTTAACCAATGTCAGTGGATATCTACCTTTACATCTCACTTCATACATCAATAATTACGGAGGTCCTGGAAACAAGGTGAATAAATATCACATTATAATGATAAAAACTCACAAATGAAAGAGACTTACATTTCCCAGATGACTCCCGTACTGAGTTTCTTATAGGAGCATATAGCATTATTTTTGTGTTCTATATGCATCCAAGAGGTTTCCGTATTATACTGGGGCACTCTGTATATTCTACTCAGTAGCATTTAATAACGTATTTTAGGTGAAAATGAGAAAGTCCATCTTAGGACTTCTACAAACCGTTAGACTTATCCACAGCGTATCTCAATTTTACAACACTTCAGAAAGAACTTCCGCTTTGATGGTGAAGGTAAAAACGTATACTCACATGAAGGCTTCTGTAAACAAAGCTTCAATTTTAGATTACGAACCAAATGATCCAGACTTGTAAGGACTACATCACCTGTCGTGGTCAAGAAAGTATTTGGTCCCAAGACAGGGCTGTAATAAAGGACAAACTAACACAATGCATTATTCTGAACAAAGTCTACAGAAGAACCTACATATTTGTGAAAAACCAAACCTTGATCCCTGGTCAACCGCCTTTCAATTTTTCCGAAAACTACGTTTTTGGAAAATTTGATGGTTTCTGTAGGAGGATCATGAAGATCATTTCGATGTTCGAGCTCATTGATGACTATACTGGATTGTTTCAAAGAAGGATGGAGGGACTATTGCTAGGAGAAGGTACAGAAGTTCATCAATATTACAGAATTCAATTTATTTTTAATTGCGCTAATGCGAAGTATGTCTTTTGAACGAGGATGTTTACAGTTACAAAAAATAGCCGCTATACATTCTCGTAGTGATCAATTCAGGTAATACGTTATATGGTGCTTCAGCTGGTTTACTTCGATAGATCTCAACTCGAATAGAGACGAAAGTAGCATGTTTATGTCTTCTGTATATCACAAATATTCGAAGTTAAGAGATGTGGTAAAAAGATCATTTGCGTTTAAAAAAAGTATTACTGTCTTAATATACAGGGTTATCCAAATTAAGTGTCCACCATTGGTAACTTTGTTATTAGTAAAAATACAAAGTTGTTTAAATTAGCAAACTAGTAGCATTTTTAACGCTGGTAAAAATGAGAAATAAAAAAAAACAATTGAGAGTCGTTATTTTGATTTTTTTCAGTAAAATAACATTTTTTTAAATGGAAACCCCTGTATATTATATTTTTTTCTGTTAAAGCATCAAATTTTAAACAAAAAAGTTCATAATGACTTTTCCGCTAAAGTCAAAAATAAAATCAAAATAACGATAAATATTTTTAATTATTTGCAGTATTATAATATTAAGTCGGCTATGAAAACAACATGGCGTTCGCGATTTGACAGCATTAAGATAAGCGACAAATTGTTAAACTGGACATACTCGCAACTAGAAGGCTTTGGAAAACAATGATAAAATCAAATAATGTCAAACATTAGTGTAAATACTTGTTTATAAGCTTTATTGTGTCATTAATTTAAAGAAAAATGTTCTCCCATGAAGAAAAGTGTGATATGTTAGAATGCAGTGTGCAGAAAATCCTCCTTGAGAGCAAGAGAATACTACAGTGAATTATATCCCGCTCGCATTCAACCGTATGAACGATATTTTCTGAGACTTTATCGAAAATTTAGGGGCAACGAAAATGTTTTTGCTAAAACAAGGGCAAAAAAAGAATTCATAATAAGCGAGGCCACGGAAATTGCAGTTATTGGATATTTTGAAGCTTATCGTGAGAATTCAATAGCAGATATTCTCAAGGACTCTAATTTCAGTTATGGTACTGTTCAAAGGATTTTAAAAAAATACAAATTTATTCCGTATAAGTACCGACCAGTTCAAACGCTTTTGGCAGGGGATCCAGAGAGAAGACTTGTTTTTTGCCATTGGTATCTTAGCTTCTGTCGCCAAAATGTAAATAACTTTCGTTACCTTTTATGGACATATGAATCAAATTTTTCAAATTCTGGAATGTTTAATAGAAAAAACCACCATTATTGGTCAAGAGAAAATCTTTTGTTAGTACATCCAAGAGGCCCACAAGTCCGTTTCAGTTTCAACGTTTGGTGCGGTATAATTGGTTCAAAAATTGTTGGCCCGTTCTTTTATGAGGGAACCCTAACTGGTGAAAGATATGTGGAATTTATGTCAGAAATTCTGACTAATTTCTTAGACGAATTGGATCTTATAAGTAGACATCATCTGCATTTTCAGCAAGATGGCGCACCTGCCCACAACTCCAGAGGTACTTATCATTTTCTAAGTACTACTTTTAATGATCAGTGGATAGGAACAAATGGCCCAATACAGTAGCCTCCCAGATCACCAGATCTAAACCCACTTGATTACTTCTTGTGGGGTTACTTAAAGAACCAAATTTACAAGCGAAGGTACGATAACCTTGACGCGTTAAAGACTGCAGTTAGGGAAAAGATAACCCAGATAGATGGTAGGACCATACTTAAGACAGTTCGAGCAGTTGAAAAACATGCCCAAAAATGTATTGAAGAACAAGGTGGTGTTTTCGAGCATCTTCTTTAAAAAAAATTGTTATTGTATTTTGTAAGATTATAAGTTGATGTTGAAAATAAAGTTTGTCGATACAATTTAATTGTTTCAGATTGGAGGCCATAACTTCAACAATTTGTAACCTAGGAGAAAAGTTATTGTAAGCTTTTTTGTTTAAAATTTGATGCTTTAACAGAAAAAAATATAATATACAGGGGTTTCCATTTAAAAAAATGTTATTTTACTGAAAAAAATCAAAATAACGACTCTCAATTGTTTTTTTTTATTTCTCATTTTTACCAGCGTTAAAAATGCTACTAGTTTGCTAATTCAAACAACTTTGTATTTTCACTAATAACAAAGTTACTAATGGTGGACACTTAATTTGGATAACCCTGTATTGACCTAAGCTCCTAACACAACAAAGTCACTTGTGATCGATTTAAATCTTATAGCCTATATTGTCGCTTGCAATACAGGTTTGTAACATCAATATCTTGATTTTACCAAAACATATTATTTCCAGCATTGGATGAAGCAATAAACAAATTTACCGAAATAAGGCAAATTGTGATGAACAAACCTTACGACTATTTGGATGCTAGAAACACGGAGTTCGAAAACGACTTCAAAAAGTTTTTGTCCCACACAGATGAACTTAAGGAAACTATCGCTGATACTATAGAACGAAACTTTGATAGTGTCTGGGAAACACCGCAAGGAATAAGATTCCTAACAAGATTCGAGAAGGTAATTTCTGGTGGACCAATTTTTGTATATTTTATTCTATGAGGGAATTTAGAGACAGAAATTTTGAAAATTTTGTCTAGT